ACAAGACTCCAGCCCCCGGGCCGAAGCCCAGGAGAAAGTGGAGCTGAGATTGTAGGAAATTCCGAGTTACTTTTTCCAGCGTCTGCAGCCAGAAGTCTTTGCTTTGTCCTGGGAACCATGGATCAGATAGAATGGAAGGGCAAAAGCGAGCCAGAAGGACTGAGCCCGCTGCTGCTCAGACAGAGTTAACCTGGGGAAACTAATGAATACAGTGAAAGTAGTTTGGGGGTGAGGGAGCTCTCCAATTTAAAGAGAAAAGAACTGTGACGTTATTTTACCATCCGCGGAAGAAACGGTGGCTTTGATGAAAAAAAAACAAACAGTTTTAATATTGATACCAATGGGGTCTTTTTATGTCCACAAATCGGATACATAGGTACATACATACATGCATACATAGCCTGGCCGCCCAGTCCTGGAAGGCAGAGGCAGGCAGATCTGTGAGTTCACGGTCAGTCAGGACAACACAGTGAGACCCTGTCTCAAATGTGTGTGTGTGTGTGTGTGTGTGTGTGTGTGTGTGTGTGTGTGTGTGCGCGCGCGCGCGCGCGCGCGCGTGTGTACACAGACAAATAAGACACTAAGACACAATATGATTTTGAATCTGGTAGCTTGGCTTACAGTGGATGGAGTTGGGTGGAAATAATCTTTTAATAAACCAGAGTTGGCAATCAGATTTCCTTGGAAGAAAAAAACGCATGTACCTTGGTCTACTTGGCCTTTAGGTGGTGATAGATCTTGAAAGAAAAGGCTATCAGAATTAAATGTACTTGCCCATCTATTGAGGTTTATTGAGGGAGGGGAATCAAGCTACAAGACTTCCCAGTGAAGTAACCACTCCTCAGGGAAAAGTAATAGGCCCTAAAGAGATACCTAACAGCTCATGGGGTGGCACGAACTAATTTTAAACGCTCTGTTTCTATAGGCTGTGTGCTGCATAGTATCTGTCCATTCATGTCTGTAGCTGGCCACCGCTTAACTTGCAACGTGATGTGCAATGAAATAGCTGGTGGAATTGAGACTTTAACCCCATGCCCATTGTTTTCCACTGTAGCAAATCACCTGTATGGTGATTGCCATTGGAAATGGAAGACTGTGAAGTTGACGCACCCTAGTTTAGGTGAGATCTTTCCACCTGCCTGTAGCTCTGTCATGTTTTAGAACAATAGACAAATAGTTATAATTACGGGACCTCTGTTTAGAATGTGTTCACTATAACCGGGTATGGATTTTTCCAGGCTAGTGTTGCTTGAGTAACTTACATAAGGAAAGCCAGGTTTGCTACACTGAATTTCCTAAAAACACTCGAGATCTCAGTACACACCTGTCCGTGCTGTTATATGTCATGAGTGCCTTGGCTTGCTCCTGAGATGTCAGGGACAATCAGAAGTTTATCATCATTTTGGCAATGTAGGGCTCACTTTTCTTGTATACATTCAGTTTCACGTTTTTCATGAATTAAATTTATACTTCTATGCTTACATTTACATATCACCTTGGTTTCCAGTCCAGAACTTTCTCCTAAATCACACACACACACACACACACACACACACACACACACACACACACACTTTTAGCAATCACCCACAAATCATGTCACAGTAGGTATTCAAATGTGACATGTCCAGAATTGAGTTTCAGCATCCCTGAACTTCATTCATTTCCCCTCTATGTCTACTGTTTCATACAAGGGAGTTTCACTCCATCCAGGTGACCATCCTGGACCCTAAAGGGTCACTTTTATCACAGCCTTCAGCATCCTTCATCCTTAGTGCCGCCTCCATAACCAACCAGCATGTTCTGTTGGAAGCCAACCTGGAAAGCACCTTGTCTCTGTCTCCTCAGACATCATGTAAACCCAGACACCACTGGCTCCTGCTCAGATCGGGGCCCACACCCCCTCCCTATCTATCACCCCACTTCTTTACTCACAACCCAGAGACAGCTCAAATCAGGGCCCATGCCTATGATTCCCCTGCCCATGCTTTCTTGGGTTCCATTGTCTTGGAAGTAAAGTTAGAAATTCTGAGAGTGACTTATACTGTTCCACTTTGTGTTTGGCCTCTGATGACCTCTTTAATTGACTGTCATCCCCCAACCTACAAACTCTCCCCATTCACTGCAGAGCTGTGTGTTTTGCTCTGTGACCTGACACTTCTTCCCTGTCCGGATCACACTGTGTCTCCTCAGCCTGGTCCATTTGCACATCTGCTTAGGAATCCCTCCTAAACAGGCCTCCATAAGTGCTACCGAACCATCCCCACCCTGCCCCCAACCATGTTCTCCCACTGCCTTCACTGGATAGAGTTTCTTTATCAGTTATTTGGGAATACAATCAAAGCTTTTTTATCAGGCTTCCCTCTATCAGCTCTTTGGATAAGTCCCTGTCGCCAGCTGTCTCTCTGTAGTACCTACTGACTGTGGCCTAGGCATCCTCTGAAGACCACCAGCTCCTCCCTACTGTACTCCTTTGCCTGTGTGCCCCTGACAGTTAGTAGCTAGCTGATCCTCAGTAGGGTCCAGACTGATTTATATTTATAATTACACAATTAAATTAAGCTTCGTGTTAACCACATAAATATGAGCACAAGAAAAGAAACACACTCATTCTTATGATAATGAATTGTGAACATGAGAAATATCCTTTAAGGGTAACCACTAAGTCAGTGTCATTACATAAAACAATTGTCAAAATGGGAAGGAGGCTCTTAGTTCATTTTATGCTCTTGTAATCGAACACCTGATGCTGGAAGACTTGTAGCAAGTAACGTTGGCAAATCCAAGATTGGGGTCCACATCTAGTGAGGACCTTCCTGTTGTACCATCCCAAGGCAGAAGACATAAAAGAGAAGAAAAGGGAAAGGGAGAGAGGAAGTGAGGATGAGGGAAAGGCAGTATATTTTCTCTTATGGGGAACCTGCTGAAGCCAGGGTGGCCTTCATTCAGTCATGAAGCCAGAGCCTTCAAGACACCATCAAAATCAACAACATTGTATTGGGCTTATGTGGGCAAGACAAGAACATAGACAGACACATTCTACCAATGGGGAGCGGGATTCTGAATCTCTAGAAACAGTCATCACACAGATTTCTTCTAAGGCCTGTGTAAGATCCTGTTGTGGTTCAGAGTAGTCGCTGGGAACCCAGTGGCAGCAAATGATGCTTTATGGCTGTGTGGTTTATGCTTGCACTGAAAGTCATGTCACGTGATGATGGAGAGTAGAAGACTCAGCATGGGAAGGACATGGAGTATTGTCCATCTCAGTACATCCTTTAATCATACACTCAGAAAGAATAGCTGTCCTACAGAGAAATGTAAAGTAAGGCATTTCTTTCTACAGACTCCCCAAAGACCTTCATCAAACAAAGGCCAGAGAGATGTTTCACTGGGTAGGTATGTATCTAGGGTGACATATGATTTGAGGTTCCCCACAGCTCTGTATGGATACCTTTGTATTCCATAGGAAACAAAACTGAAAGTGAAGTCCTCAGGAAATAGGTAAAGAAAGGTACCATGTTTTTTTGACATGTTTGCCAATGTCCATGCTTGGAACATTTATCCCTAACGTGTATGACAAGGTTGAGAGGGAACCCTGAAGAGCAATTATGTCAGAGAAGCTTGGCTCTGCTTTTCTGGGGATGGCGAGGTCAGCGTTGCCATCACGGTGGGAGTGTATCTCCCGCTCTAACAGTGGATTGTTGGAAAGTTGAGTTTGGCCCCCTTCCACCCTCTTTCTCTCCCATGCTTCTGCTTCTTCCCTTCTGCTTTTACTAGAGGATGACACAACAAGAAGTTCTCCCCAGGTGTGGGTGCCTTGAGCTTGGACTTTCTTTGTTCTTTATAAATCACCAAGTCTCAGGGATGCTGTTACAGTGGCACAAAAATCAACAAGGGATTCTGTTGATTTCCAAAAATTAATAACAGAGACTCCAGAGAGGCTTAGTGAATTGTTGATCCTTTCTTTCCTATACACTGCTGTACCTATGGTTGAGTTGTTGTGGCTAATGTCTAATCAGCACTACTTTAGTACGAGGTAGTCATGCTCCTTTTGACTAGGAGGCACTTAACATTTCTATTAGAATGAGATGACGTGTTGGGTTTCTTCTTCCTTCTCAGAGTCAGGGTGTCACCAGGTAGTTGAGAATGAAAATTGACTTTCTTGTGTAAAATGACTAAATTGTAGCAGTTTCTCACTTATAAGACCCTCACCCCATCCCCCATCCCAACACCCCCAGGTAAACCGAAAGTCCTGACTACAAAATGCCTACTACTGCCCACTAGTGTGTCCCAGACCCAGTGGGTTGGTTTTTTTAATTGCTTTTTTTTTCCCTTTTCCTCTAACAAGTCTGTGATTTGGTTGGCTTATTACACATTAATGCAGGCATGCTCTCTCTCTCTCTCTCTCTCTCTCTCTCTCTCTCTCTCTCATCCCTTCCCCCACCCCTCCAGCAAGTGAGAGACTTTCTTATCTTGAGTGCTGGCAAAGTCAATGACTCAGAGATAAGAAGTAATAGAGGTGCTAGGTTGTCAGTTTTAACATCCAAGGACAAGCGTGAAGCCTTTGCCTTATCATTACAATGAATGACACGGTTTGTGTACCCGTGAACTGTGAAAAGGGGGGAAAGATAAGGGGAGAAAGAAAAGTGCAAAAGTCCCTGCTAGTGTTGCCAGGAGGAAATGCCCCTGGTTCAATAACCTAGCCAGGGCTTCCCCTCACTCCCTTTCCTCACACTCAAGCATACACAAAATGCAGTTTCAAATGGAAAGCACCATCTTGCTCCACAAAGATCTGTGTCTAGAAAGAGGGAGCCGACTACCCATCTGTTTTTCTCAAGTTGTATGACATCATTTGAATTAAAAGCAAACACTCTTATCTGAACATTGACTTAGCTACAAATTAAATAC